CGTCAAGGTCCTTTGAGAATCCGAGAGGGTCCCAGAAACCCAGAGGCGCTTGGTCACCAGTCAGGCCTTGGAAGCCCGTGTTGGGCTTCTCCCACTCGGGCAGAGTGTTGTAGCCAGGGCTCATCAGTCCACTGCGAAGAGGAGAGTCCGTATACAGTGCCCAGTCGCCCCACGCGGAGCCTGTCAATCCATCCTGGAACAGCCTCAGGCACGAAACAAACACAACCATATCTTAGCCTGCTCATCTGTAACGCCGTGTCAAGCATGACAAATCAGCATGCTAGCGAACATAATATGTGGACACATGCCTGCTGTCGCCTGGTCGTCATAGGCTCGGCAAAAATGTGAACTGCACTGCATCCTGCTTAGATTCACAGCGCCCATGAGTCATAATAGCTTCATCGTAGCAAGGAGCCACGGCAAGATGCGTTCATATATGTATACATGTATGTACATGTTGTATGCACATGTGTTGGACTTTAACGATGATGCCTTCCAATAAATTATGTGTTTAGGTACGTGCGTATTATTAATGTATTGTATTTGCGGCAGTTTTGCGGGCAAATACTTGGAAAAAACACCGTGGTATCATGCGCAAGTCAGGTACAGACAAGTTCCGGAAATTGCTTCGCAAGTAAAGGCCACACTCTGATCAGGATTCAAACGTTTTTGGAACAACAAAATTTGGGAACCATGTCTGGGCACATCCACGTATGCTGACTGTCAGATGAATTAAGCTTGATGTCTGCTACGCTTTCGCCTGTCCGCGCTCAACCGATGAGGTTGAACGCAACCTTTGCACTCAGTCACGGCGTTTCCGAATCTTACTTCAACTTTCCATGGTCGCATCAAGAAGCTATCGTTTCACGGTAACAATGCGGCCAGGGTACATTCCGATGATGGCCATCATCGCCAAGCGGCCATTTGCCAACTCCGCCGAAAGCTTTTTGGTTCGTGCCTGTTCGCTGGGGATCTGGGTTTCATGTGTTGGGGACATAATTAAATTCTCAAGGGTTTTAAGGTCTCAAGGGTTTTAAGGTCTCAAGGGTTTTCGGATTGCTAGCATCACGGTTTACACGGTTCCAAACTTGAAGATGTATAGGCCGGCACGTCTTGATTCCCACACCTCGGCTTTGGCCTTGGGTAGTTCTCAAGAGTCAAGACCTGCCGGTTTAATGTCTGATATTCATGGATCGGACGTGAAGCCACAGCGCACTATAACTTCATTCCCTTCCTAATATGGACAATTCTATAAGTTCAAGGGTCACCTCTGGGCGGACCAGCCTGAGAGCCGGCCTTATAAGGGTGCCTGAAGGCTTTTTCAAGAATTAACAAACAGCAAGCCATATATCATTTGATCTCCACAATGGCTCAAGCTTATTACTTGGGTCTATAATCCATAAGTGTAGTTTGCGAACACTAGCTGGTACGATTTTGTCAAGGAAGCATTTGCACACTTCCAATCGGCAAGCGCCTGAGCCGTGCTTGATATACGTGCTGACAGCATGGTTATCATTGACTCTCCCTGGTTGTTCCACTCTTCGAAGCTCTTGTGCGAAAGACAAGTAGTTACAAGCTCGCACTTTTTGTGTGAGGCTGCGGCTTGCGCTGCCCAGCGTGCTGATTCCGCATTTCCACGAAAAGCACGGCCAGCCCGGGATGTTAGCGGATTGGGATTATGTCTTCGGAGTTTGTTTTCAGATTGCTTTGGGGTTGAGTTGTTGCAAAACAGATCTGACTAGAGCCCAATAGGTGCAGTTTTAGTAAGATGTTCATGGCATGTAGCTCCACAATGAACCCACACCGGGGGGCGCCAGGCCTAGTCAAAGTATAGCCGTTCCTAGGCAGTTTGAACTAGCAGAACATCCCAAAAGGGAGAAATCTAGAAACCCTCAGGCTACGAAAGGAGGACGCTACGTCACGTCGGAATCTACTTACATTTTTTGCGTAACTGCATTTATACCCCAGGCACTTACACTCCTTGAATCCCCTGGATTCATTATTTTGGAGTATAACTACAGGTTTCTGTGGTTTTGTGTCACATCAAGTCAGCAGATACGAAGCGGGCTTCCATCCAGTCTGGCAAGTTTGCGCCTTGCTTTGGGTATGTGCGTGCATGTTTCTGGTATGATTCGCAAGGCATATATGCCGCATGGTTTTCGGATCCCAATTACATGTTTTTGTTGTTTAAAGCCTCAGGGTATCAGTGTTGTTCTTACCATTAATATTACTACGATTACTATGACTATTATTATGATTACTACTATTTTTACAGTCTCTGATACAATCAGCGATAAAAAGTGGCTCTCCATCTGAAGTGTTTGAAGCTCTGGCTTTCATCTAGAGGGTTTAGGGTTTGGGTTTAGGGTCTAGAGAGATAAGTTGCTCAGGGTACCCTCCATCTAACATGATAGGATTTGGGTGGTTGTCAAAATTATGGTTCCTTTTTGGATCCCTATTATACTACGGCACCTAATATGTAGGGTACCCAAAAAGGGACCCTAATTTTGACAACCACCCATTTCTGCGAGCTCATCTAGACTGAAAGGATGTCTCGGGAATTTCATATCAAGTGGCCAGATTTCCAGGAAACCCCCCATCCAAACATTTAGGATTTCTAGAGGAACCTCCCGTCCCATGCGGTAGGATTTCCTCAGGAACCTCTAGCTGAAATGATCGGATTTTTGGGGGAACACTCATCGGACATGAGAGGATATCCGGAGGAACTCTCATCCTAAACCCTAAACCCTAAACCCTAAAAACCTGCATCAAAGTGGGAGCAGGTCTAAAAGATCAGTGATAGGCTTTCGAAAGGATGTTCCAATGGAAATGAAAGATATCTAGAGAAACCTCCATCTAGAGTTGCAGGACTTCAAAGTGAATCCCGTTATGATGATAGGATTTCGAGAGTAACCGCCATCTAAATGGTAGGATTTCTAGACAGGGTTCTATGAGAGAACTGGGTAAATTTGTCAAGGGATTTGCTTCGGATGCTTGCTTTGGGGTTTGCGCCGGCGTGTGCTGTGGAGTTGCTTCACTTCATCTCTAGATACCGAGTAGTCTTAGGTGGGTTACTTCGCCCTGCAAGGGCGAAGGGCTTAAATGCTTCCTTGCCTTGCAATCTTGGAGACAGCTCTGAAGTTGTGCATTGGATGCTACATCGTGCGTGCTTGGGACCTCAAGGAACATGAGCCTACAGTCCCCTTAAGTAGATAGAATATGGTTTTGGGTATATTTATAGTAAGATCCCCATCTACCCCATATTCTATCTACTTAAGGGGGACTATACATGTGCAAAACAACCATTTCTGCATTGACTCGTCAAGCTCTGAAACCAAGAGTCTTCGATCTGCTTTGGTTAGAATGTGTAGTCTGTCTTCAGGGGTCGGAATCATCGGCCCTCATATCCAGAAAGCCAACCATTCTCCATAAAGAGGAAAGAAACTTTTGAACATATTGCAGATGCTGCCAGAACCTGAGAGACAAGTTTGGGGTTGATCACCGCCTACCCTTCCCCTCAGTAATATGCAACCTCTTGTAACCCCCTCCTAAAAGGACAGTGGTCCAGACATGGAGCCCCTCTTGGGGTTCCGTGTGAGCCATAGTCTAAACTCCCTTAAGGGGGGTTATATAGAGGGGATTCTATAGGGGACTACTATAGGGGTTATTAAGGGGTATACTGGGAGTTTAGACTATAGCTCACGTTGATTTGGGGGAGGGTACGGATGGACAGCTCCAGTTACCAAGGTTAGAGACTCTACTGCAGAGCTCACTCCAAACCCCAAGTTGAGAACCACACAAAACCTTCATTGCCCGGATTTTAGATTTATGCAGTCACCCCCCCCGCCCCCAACATTAAGGAAATCCAGATAAGGACCTGAATCAAGGACCAATTTTCCCAAGATCCCCCTAAACCCTAAACCCTAAACCCTAACATGCCAACCCCTGGATGCTATTCCTTGTTGCTGCCTCGGGGTTTGTCACGGGCCCAAGGAAGCCCAGGCCCAGGTTGCCCTTGCCGTAATTGCCGGGCTCCTCTCCCACCTTATGGGGGACTGTCAAAATTATGGTCCCTTTTTGGGTCCCTATTATAATACGGGGCCTAATACGGGGCCTAATCTATAGGGGATCCAAAAAGGGACGATAATTTTGATAATCTCCCTTATGTTTTAAGCCTTTGAGGTTAGGGGGTTTGGAAGGGTTTAGGGCTTACATGCTTTCGGGTGCGCGGTTTGGGGTTTCAGGGTTTGGCATCCAGGCACAGCAATGGAAGAATGATACTCGCAACAGTGGCAATGTCAGCAGCCAGCAGTCGTGGGCAAAAGCGCGAGTTACGGCGAGATTGCATTCAGCATCATGGTATGAGGTTGGACAGTTAGTTAAATATGGGGACGCCCATCTCAAAATCTTCCTTCTTGGCCCCTCTCACGCATCACATCTGTGGAAGGTAGGCCGGGCTCACACCAACCCAGAACCTTATAAACGCAAGGTACGTCGTGAGGCTCGACGTTCCTGGTTTTGGAGCTGTTTCGCAGGATTGAAGTCTTAGACTTCAGCAACTTCTAAGGAGTATTAAAAATTCCGAGGAATAAGGGGCGGGCTGAGGGTTTGGGGTAAAGCTGGGGCCATATACCTGTTTCATCAAAAATGCCGCAGAAACTCTGTCTGTGCCTAAGTTAAGAGAAGCAGGGCATCCCATCACTATCCTTCTATCTTATTGGTTGCCAGCAGGTCTCGAAGAAATGAATCCCAATACTAGGTTTTTAGGGTTTATCCCCAAGCATATAGTAGTTTCGCTTTTGCCATGCCCAAAACCTTAGAAAGCCTACGCCTTCTATACTAGCTTCCATGTTCTTGTCTGCTCCCTCATTCCCCGCTAGCAGCCAGCAAGTCAAGGGACCCTTCTCATCCTTTTCGGGCATAGGCATATGACCCCATACAGGGAATGGAGCACCAACTGGAGGACAATGTAACCGAAACGGAACTGGGGTCATGTGCCGAGCTTCCAGTATCGCGCGACGAATCCCAGTTTTCGGGGACGGCGGAAAACAAGATCCCCAACTAACATCTACAGAAACCTCGTAATGCATTAGGTCATTTCCGCTGTCAGTAACAGTCACCGGCGTGGCGAATAGGAGTTATAGTAGCCCCTCACGAATCCCTCGTTAAGGACAGGTACTGTAACGGGAAAGGGTCCAAGTAATACCCATACAGAACCCTTGTGCGACATTTTCAATGTTCGATGGCAGCCTGTCCCCCAATAAGCTGGCCGTTACCCTAAGACTTGGTAGTTTCCCAAAATAGGGGGACCCAAATATAGACCCCAAAATACTATAATCCTCATTATTGGGACCCCTAAAATGGTACGCCTAATTTTGGGAAACCCCCACTTGGACCTTAGACTCTAAGAGCTGCACCCTGACACCTGGAACCTTGAATCCGCCACCTGATGCGCCATTTACAAACCCCGCAACCTTCAACCAAACCCTCGGCTCGAAGTCCTAAACCCCAAGCCCTTAGAGTTAAGTTTAGGGTTGAGGGTTTAGGGTTCTGGGGTTGAACCCCAAGCCCCTACGAAGCCTTGAGGCAACCCAGGCACGGGCTTGTTGACGAAGAGCTCGTAGCATCCCAGGAAGGCTACGATCTGTGCCCAACCCTGGCCAGGAACCTCCGTGCGAATTTGGGGTTCAGGGTTTGGTGTGTAGGGTTAAGGGGTCAGGATTCAGGGATTTAGGGTTCAGGATTCAGGGTTGAGGATTTGGTAGTTTCCCAGAACAAAGGGACCCCAATGTAGACCCCAAAATACTGTAGTCCTTATTATGGGGATCCCCAAAATGGTACCCCTAATTTTGGGAAACCCCCATTTAGGGCTGAGGATTTTAGGGTTCAAGTTCTGGGGTTTAGGGCTTAGGCGGGACTTGCAGGTTAGGGTTTAGGGTTTAGGGTTTAGGGTTCAGGCATCAGGGGAGATGACGAGTTTGAAGCCAGGCACCCCCCAGGATCCCCGTGTCGAAGGGATTCGCTGGGTCCTTTGGATCTCAAATAACACTGGAGACCCTACAAGGATTCTATGGGTTATGTTATAGGGGATATACTGGGATTATGAAGGGATATGAGGGCTTTGCCCTGTCTTCGATTGACTCGGGGATGCTCACTTTTGGGGGCTGCTTCTCGAAATCAGGGTCTCTTTTACCAAACTTGTTGAAGGAGCCCTCAAAAGCAATCCATATTGAGGACCCCCGCCGGGCTGATCTGAAAATGCCAGAGGCATCCAATAAACGAAATGTCAACTCTAGCTGTTGCGGCTCATATGTGCTACTGCTGTTCTCTCTCCTTCAGCACCATAGGTCTGTCTGACGACAAACAACAATGCGTGTCAATACTGCAGATTTCACATACTTTGCAGGTTCATTGTTCTCACAGAAGCATCCCCAACTTCATACTGTCTGATATCAGGCGACACTTATCCTTTCAGGCCTGAACTCTGAAAAGTAATTTAAAAACATACCAAACATGGGTCACAAGCCCTGGGACGGATCAATGTCCTCAACAGTTTGACTCGCTCCTGCATATATTGCCTCTGACGAAAGATCATCTGAATGCCCAACCCTAACTCCTAAACCCTAAATTCCTAATTACTCAGCACTACGCTACCTTTGTCAGTGCTGCCAGGCCGTTGGGGATGTCGGTGAACCTGGGGTCTGCAATGTGAAGCCACGCATCTGAAAGGGCTTAGGATTTGCTACGTGCTGTTTGGGGTTCAGGCTACAAAGAGACGCAATCTGCCATCCAATTTTTGTAGCATACTGCAAGAAACTCACCGGCAACCCATGACAAATGATGAAATGTGACATGGGCATTTCTCAAAACCGCCGTTGCAGAATACCGGCAATATAACCCCAATATGATCCTATATAACCCGCTTCAATTTCATTTTCCATCATCCCCATATATACCCCAATATGACATTTCCAAGGGGTTCCTGCAAGTTCGACCTTTTCTGAGACAATCCTACAGGGACTCGGATGAATGTAAGGAATGATGCATGGATTTGACCGTAACCCAGACTTCTGATTAATAAGCCCCCTCCCCTTAATAGGGATAATCAGGATCCTAATATTTAGGCCCTTAAAAGGAAGGGATTCATTAATCATCGGTCTACATGACTGTTTTTGTCTTTTCTGCGCTTGGGGGAAAATTTTCACCGCCTAAGGAAAACGGAATTCCATCACGTGCGTTCATGCGGAAGGGGCCCACCTTGAAGACAAATTTGCATGCGTATACAACGTTTTGACTCCATTTTCCATTTCTCCACCACAATTCCATACACCCACCTATATATACGTATATATACTCTATATATATATATACACATATCTCCTTCTCTCATATATATATATATGCATTGGGTGCAATAAACCTGATTCTCGGCACATACCCACTTCCTTTGGCGAAATGCACCTCGAAGGCCCTAGGGTTTAGGGTGTTAGGGGTTTAGGGGTTTATTGGTTTAGGGTTTGGGGGTTAGAGGTTTAGGGGTTAGAGGGTTTAGGGGTTAGAGGTTTAGGGGTTAGAGGTTTTGGAGTTAGAGGTTTAGGGGTTTAGGGTTTAGGTTTCTTGGAACCTTGATACTGCCTGCGGGAACATGAGACAGGCTCCCAGCGGCCGACGTGAATGTTTTGAATCTAATAAAGCTCTATCAATCCAAAACCCCAAACCCCAAAACTTGAAAACGCTGAACTCCTAAATCCCCGAAGCCATGAATCCTACACCCCTAAACCCTCAAACCCTACATGCCCCCATACATCCCTAACCCTAAACCCTAAACCCTAAACCCTAAACCCTAAACCCTCAGCTGCCGAGCATCTTCAAGCCCAACTTTGGGGAGAGGTCACCAGGCCACCTGAAGTACTCGGGGACGATGTAGCCTCGAGATTTTTAAAGTTTAGGGTTTAGGGT